CAACAGCGCACACACACACACACACACACACACACACACACTCACACACACACTCACACACACGAGCGTCTCCTCCCCGTGGAGCTGCAGCAGTGATTTAGTGAGGCCTGTTGACTGTGGACACTCTCCAAATCACACACCCATCCAGACACAGCTAATATTCACAATATTTGTCATTCACAATCACGGCAGTAAAACAACCGCAAGAATCTGAGATGATCGGGACACTAAACCATTATTCTCAACACCCTAAACAGATGACCAACTTTCAACATATTCGTGTTAAGCTGCCAAACCGTATTCGGTAAAACTCTTGCGAGATTTGCATTTGCTGCAATCAGCCGGGTCGTTATTTGTCCATTTTGAGATTATCCTACTGACCGACATCAGTGCGTCATTCTGCCCCAAAAATACAGTCATGCACAATGTTTGATTTAAAATATTCTTATGAAAATAAATATGAAAATGTTTATGAAATGTATGCAAAATATTTGTTAAATTCATATTCACTATCATTAAGGCAAGTTTATTTATACAGAACATTTGATACACAATGGTAATTCAAAGTGCTATACATAAAAAATAAATAAAAAAGTCATAAAGAAAACATTTTGATAATGCATGCATCGTAAGTATAAAAATAGTCATAAAAAACAGAAATAAATTTGAAATGCATGCAACAGAAGTATAAAAATGGTCATAAAAATAATTTTTAAAAAAAAAATGCATGCATCATAACTATACAAATAATCATAAAAAGAAGACATTTGAAAAATGCATGCATCATAACTATATTAAAAAATAAACATTTTAAAAATGCATGCATTGTTAGTATAAAAATAGTAATAAAAATAACATTTTAAAACTCCATGCTTCATAACTATAATAAAGTATAATAACGTTTAAGTCTTTTAATGCTTGTATTAAATGCAAAATATGGCTAATTACATCAGAAATTAACAAAAAAAAAAACTGAAGAAATTGAAACAAATAAAATGAATACATTAAATTATGTGACATGTATATAAGACATCTGTCACTCTGACCCTCTATCAGTGGACTGCTACTGATAGTGGATACCTCACAGAATGAAGGTTACCATCTACACACAACCATCAAATATATCAGAAATGAAAGCTGGCTGGACTGATCAAAACACTCAGGAAACAGGAAACAGAACAAGATGGTCATGTGACTTTCAGCTGCTCTCTGACTCCACCTGTGTGACGGACACACTCCTGAATGGAGAGGAGTGGCAGATGCACTGAATTACCTGATTTGGATCCGCAGGTGGACGCGATCTGGCCGCTCGGACAGGTGCACATGTTGGGTCTGGAGCAGAAGCCGTCTCCGCAGGAGCTCCGACAAATAGCTGAGGATTGTAAAAACAACGACTGACTGCGATTTATTGATTGCTTGACCTTCACAGGTGTCAGTAGACAGGTGATATTGAACGTTCTGCACATCCCTTCCCTTGTTGTTTCTTATATGTGTCCCTGCAGCACAAAAGCAGTGTTAAGTCGCTGGGGTATATTTGTAGCAATAGACAAACCATACATCAATGGAAAGCTTATTTATTCAGCTTTCAGCTGATGCATAAATCTCAATTTCACAAAATTGACCCTTATGACTGGTTTTGTGCTCCAAGGTCACATATATGCACTAACATGTTTAAATCCATCCCAGACCAATCAAAGTCTGCAGATTCAGGTCTTTCCATGAGACAGACTTCCAGTTCATCGAGGCATATGCCAGCTGTCTGGCTTAAACGGATTAATGCGATTACACGATACACATATAACTGGAATGCGTCCAAACCCAGAATGTTCTTGTTAAGCGCGGTCAGTGAGAGGTCAGGAGGTCAGAGAGACTTTAGCACGCCTGACCTTCACGTGTAAACAACATCACCACACCCCCGCGCCAGAACAGCCTTCCTGAGCGCTGCCAATCTATTCAGCTACAGGATAAAAGCAGAAAACAATCATCCAGTGCCCCCGCCCTCCACTGTAAACACACTCGTGCTGACAGACCGTGTCCGTTTGCTCGTGCTGGAGCAGAACACAGCAAACAGTAAGTGCATGAGGACTTACGGACGATGCACTGGTTCCCTCCGGTCAAGGTCTTCCATCCGGGACAGCAGTACGCGTGATGACGGGATCCACACACATTCGGTCTGCGGGAAGAGTTCGGCAAAACTTAACCGAGCAACAGGTCAAATTCACATTTAAACTTTATGTGTGAAACTCTCCATACATAGAATAAAATGAGCGTGGGATGCTAGAGTATGTTGTACAAGAAAATACTATTTCAGTCTTTCTAAAGGTACTCCAAAATGTCACATTTCATCCAATTTGTTACCCGTCTCTATAAAATGTTTCATATCTACCGAACTAATCTTACAGATGACATGGCTTTAAAAACTTCAACTTCAATTCTTCAAACTTACAGCTTGTTTGTAAGTATTCAGACCAGCCTTTCTCAAGCCAGCATCAAAGCTTCTCTACAGTACAAACTGAACTATCTACTTATTTGTGAAATTTACTAGCAATGTCTGAAAGTTGTTTCACCACCAGTTTTTTTTTTTTTTCAGTGTAGAAGTAAAAACAAAGAGCATAAATACAAAAAAAAGACATAAAAAGTAATTCTTATGCCCTGCTTACTTTATTTTTCTTGCATTTCCTGTTTAATTTTTTCATTGTTTATTGGGTAACACTTTACAATAAGGTTCATTAGTTATCATTAGTTAACTACTTTAGTTAACATGAACTAAGCATGAACTATACTTCTACAGCATTTATTAATCTTAGTTCATGTTAACTTCAACATTTACTAATGCATTATTAAAATCAAAAGTTGTGCTTGTTAACATTAGTTAATGCACGGTGAATTAACATGAACTAACAATGAACGACAACGATTAACATTAACAAAGATTAATAAATGTACTGTTCATGGTTTGTTCATCATGTACTAATGGAACCATATTGTTACCGTTTATTGTTTATGCTCTTTTCTATATATTTTTGTTTGTTTGGTTTTTGTTACGTTTCTGCCACGATGTAAATGCTACTCAATTAAAATTGAATAAAAAAAAAAGTTTTCTCACATTTCTGAACTGTGCGATATAAACTCAGACTTGCGAGAAAAGTCTAAAATATGAGATATAACCTAATTATTGTGAGAAAAAAGTCACGGTTATCTTTTTTATTGTTTATTCTGTGGCAGAAAAAAAAAAGAATTGCAAGATTTAAACTCTGCATTCTGAGAAAAAAAGTCAGAATTGAGAGATATAAACTCAAAATTGTGCGGAAAAAAAACAGAATTCTGAGTTTATGTCAATTTTCTCATAAATGCGAGAGAAAAACAGTGTGAATTGTGTGATAAAAACCACAGGTTCCACGACTTCTGTGCACAGATGTTTTTTTTTCCTTCTGTAATTGAATGTTTATTGTTTTGTGAGGATCATCTAAATGAACACTTCGAAGATTCCAGATGTTGCAAAACAAACAATCAAGAAACCTGTGAAAACAGCACAAGCTCTCATTAATGCTGTGGCACTATAGTTCCCGGGCCACGGAGCGCGGTACACCGCGGTGAGTGGCAGGTTTACCCTGCTGTTTGGAGTGAATGTGTGGTTCTTCAGTGATGCAGAGATGCGTTACCCCTTCAGCACGTCCTGGCCGCCGCCGCGCCGCTTCGCTCGGTTCGCTCTCGGCTGCTCCGCGGCTGCGTCTGCGTCTGCGCCTGCGTCCAGCGTCTGCGCCGATACACACAGCGACACGAGCAAGAGCAGCCGCCTCATTCTGCGCGTGCTCCCGCTGCACGACCAACAGCTCGCATTAATAGCAAAACTGACAAGAACACAAACTCGGTGAAGAAGAAAGCGGCGTCACTGCAAAGCAAAGGAGAACTCGACACTTCAGGAGAAAGTAAAACTGAAGGAAAGAAAGTTCTGTACCTCCAGCAGATGATGAAGAAGAAGATGAAGAAGAAGTCTCCCCCGGTAAGTGTGCACTGACGCAGACGGTAAAGTGCCTGGTAAAAATAGTCAGAGTGAGAAAAAGAGCTCAGAGGTGCAACTCAAAGCGCAGCGGCTGCGTTACTGCATCAGCGCTCATTCCGCTGCGCCACTCAAATCTCATCCAAAAACACTCGCTCGCCTCTGATCTCGCGAGAACCTGCGCGAATTGAGCCGAACGCCGAAATCAGCTCGAGATGAACAGATTTTAGACACTTTTATACAAAAGGGAAATTAAGAAAATGAATCCGTATGAGGAGCTAATAACATATTCAAGGTACATAAAGATGTCACTATAACTTTAAGATGAAATGCCGTATAAATACCACTGATATAGTGCCATTGTACTTTCACAACACTTTAAAAGGAGGGCTTTGTGGTAAATTAATTGCGTCGGGAAGCGTGCTTTTTTAGTTTTTTCAACTTTCTCTTGCTGACAGACTCTGGCTCAGGAGTGCGCCTCATACTTCTCCAGCAGCAGCATCTCTTGCTGGCAGCACCTTGACTCGTGTAACGAGAACACGAACAATGCACAATGAGAGAGAGGGGGCTCATGGGAGACAATTTATGACGTTTACCCTCCAGACGTGCTGCACACTACACAATTCAAACCACGCGCTGGAGAAGCATGTGGTCTCACTTACAAAAGCAGACTTTTTGGACCATAGCATTTTCTGAAGTGCCATGTGAACAGTGTTGTGGGTAACGCATTACAAGTAACGCAAGTTATGTAATCAGATTACTTTTTTCTAAGTAACTAGTAAAGTAACGCATTTTAAGTTTACAAGAAAATATCTGAGTTACTTTTTCAAATAAGTAACACGAGTTACGTAATAACACAAATAACTAGTAAAGTAACGCATTACAAGTAACGCGAGTTATTTAATCAGATTACTTTTTCTAAGTAACTAGTAAAGTAACGCATTACTTTTAAGTTTACAAGAAAATATCTGAGTTACTTTTTCAAATAAGTAATGTGTTACATGATCAGATTACTTTTTTCAAGTAACTAGTAATTACTTTTTAGTTTACAAGTAAATATCTGAGTGACTTTTTCAAATAAGTAAGGCCAGTTACTTTGTTTTCCCAATTATTGACTGACAGCTGTCATGTCATCATGTTAGGATAAATCAGGAGTGAGTGCAGAGGTGCTGTGTGAACATGATGTTGCTGTAGATCTAGACTAAATGTCAGCATGCATTTACTCATCTCACTCGCTCAAAAATAGATTCAGTATTCAAAATCAATAAAAAAAAGTAAAAAGCAAACTGAGAATATGATGCAAATCTGCAACAATTAAATATGTTAAGTAATACAAATATCCTTTATGTATTTAATTCCATTTTACTAACCAATGTCTCTGCTGCTGACCTTTGATGATACAATTCAATATGCAAAAAATGACTTTAGATAAATTCGATAATTTATATCACATTTGGGGTGATAGGGCTTTTACGTTGGCCAAAAATAGAACTTTTTATATTAAAACCAAAGCAAGCAAGCCCTGCCCAGATTTAAAAAGTAATGCAAAACTAATGTAACGCATTAACTAAGCAGTGTAATTAATTACTTTTTTAGGGAGTAACACAATATTGTAATGCATTACTTTTAAAAGTACGTTTGAATACCACTGGTACATGGCATCAAATAATACCATGCTAGTACATCACTGCATTGATGTACCAGTGGTTTAGTAAGGGAAAGACGTTGGTTAGTGAATGTAGAATGAGCTGTTGCATCCTGACATGGGTATTTGCGTCTGCATCTCAACCCAACAGAGTCCAGCCTGAGAGAGAAACCCGAGCCGCTCATGTGCTTTCTGTGCATCAGAAACAATCATCTGTAAGGAATGCAGACTCAAGTCAACATGAAACAAACACCATTTACTTTCTCAAGACATGCTCTTGATCTCATCAGTGTGTTCTAAACAAATGCAATCACTCCAGCTGATGCTTGGTCACACTACACTTTTCATCCCACTGACCTCCATTCATACACACTGCAAATTTAATACTTTTCATGCACTCCACAGTTCAAGTTTGGTGAACTCGGACCTGCAGACGCGTATCACATGAAGATTCTTGTGTGACTAGAAGAAAAATACATCACAACCTCTTAGCTGAATTTAAAAATAAAAACAAAGTTTAAAGCTGCAGGTTTGCAGTGTTACAGGTAAGTGGAGTTGATTGTATATGTTTACATTTATGCATTTGGCAGACACTTTTATCCAAAGACACTTTCATTGCATTAAACCTATACTTTTTTTTCAACTCATGCATTCCTTGAGAATTGAACCCGCGACACTGGCGTTGCTAGCACTGCATTCTAATGTTTGAGCTACAGAAATGTGCATTTGGCATTTATTAGTACTTGTTATGTTTAATTTTTGTTTCGTTTTTTTGGAAGATTCTGCATGCTCAAAAGAGGGTTGTTATTGTTAACTAAAAAATAAAACTATTAAAAACATTTTTGTTAATTAAAATAAATCTGAAATAAAATATAATAAAACATAACTATTAGATAAAAAAACTTAAACTAAACGAAAATCAGAAACGTTGCCTTGGCAGCTAACTGAAATAAGTCAAAGCACTAAAATTACTAACTAAAACTAAAGCTGAAATAAAAATAAATGAAACCTAAAAAGTAATATTTAAACAAAAATTACAAAAACACATAATAACTAAAAATGCAACTAATATTAAAATAAAAATTGAAAGTATATAAGTAAATAGTAAATAGAATAAAACTCTATTAGTATAAAAATATAGCTGTGGCTTTACTTATATCAACCACCTTCATATAGAGACGCTTTCACCATCCAATCTGTTCATCATGGAGAAAATAAAGTCCGAATCTCGCGTTTCACTCATAAATACGTCACTTGGTTGAAATGGCTTGCGAGCGGCGTTTGGTTTAATTTATGTCATATCATCAGGTGTCTTAACATCATTGTTCAGCAGTGTGTCTCTGGGTCCCGTCGGCTGCAGAGTTCGAGGCTGACTGACAAAGCTCTGCTCATTCTTCTGTGTGTTTACTTTCTCTAAGGCTCGGCGCTATGGCTTAAACAGATGCTCCAATATACTGACCTACTTTTGAGGAATTCAGTCCTCTCTCTCACTGCACGTGACCCAATAACAGCATCCCATTCCTGTTCCTGTTCCTGTTCCTGTTCCTGTTCCCGGCCTCGTGCGGATCGCAGACGGATGCAGGGACGGGCGGGGGAGCGTGTGCCTGTGCGAAAGCGTCTTACTCTAACTTTCTCACACTGTTTATTTGCTTTGGCTCAGGAGCGACTGTGTCTCCTTTCATTTCCCGTGGTCTTGGACTCCAGGAATCGAGCGCTCCGACTCCCAGACGATCAGCGATACGGGAGGAGTATCTGAAATCTCACAGAATCAATCATTATTAATCACGTGTGGATTGCTTTGATATCACAGAGCGTTCAGGTTCATGTAGAGCCGGCAGAACTGAGACTTTCAACTGGGTTTTTACCTTTGAAACGGCAGAAGCCGCTCTCATAATGCTCAGGTGTTGAGCCATCGATGGAACCTTTAACCTTAACCTTTCCATTGCACAAAAGGTTCTTCAGAATATTACAGCGTTGTGAAAAAAAAAAATGGTTCTTTTTAGAACTGATCACTGAAAGGTTCTTTGGGGAACCAAAAATGGTTCTTCTATGGCATTGTTGCGAAAACACCCATTTGGAACCGTTAATTTTTAAAAGTGTTGAACGTTTCCATTGCAAACAAATGTGCAAAAGGCCTCATTAGATTATTAAAATGTTGTTCTCACCAATAAAAAATGGTTCTTTTAAGAACTGATCACTGAAAGGTTCTTTGGGGAACCAAAAATGGTTCTTTTATGGCATTGTTGCGAAAACCAGCTTTTGGAACCTTTATTTTTAAAAGTGTGGAATTTTGTGCAAAAAGCTTCTTTAGATTAAATGTTGTTCTCACTAAGAAAAAGTGGTTCTTTTAAGAACTGATCACTGAAAGGTTCTTTGAGGAGACAAAAATGGTTCTATGGCATTGTTGCGAAAACACCCATTTAGTAACTTCTTTTCTGCTGCTTTCACGTGGATACGCATTTGTGTTTCACATCATCCAGCTTTGCTTCATCTCCAGCTGGATCACGGATGGATGTTCTTCCAGCTCCTGAAGAGAACTGATTCATGCTGGGCTCGTCTCTCCACAGAACACCTTCCCAAAACACTTGGAACCACCTAGCTGCTTCTTAGCAAATGATAGACAAACGTTTCTGATTGTGGCATCCCAAACGCTGGCCCGAGAGTAGCCTGCAGTTCTCTGGACGCGGCTTCAGGATCTTCTGTGACGGTCTGGATGATTTTAGGCTGCGCCTCTGCAGAAACCTTGGCAGGCCAGTCGCTCCTGGGGAGTTTCTCCACCGTTCCAAGTTTGCTTCGTTTCGACATTGCGGCTCTCGCTGTGGGTCTGATTCAGATCCAGGGTCTTGGAAATGTCTGCGTAACCTTTTCCTGACTCAATATGAGCATGTCATTTTTATTCTCTCATTTAAACTCTCCTTTGATCGGGTGATTTGTGCTTGTTGAATCTTTGTGAGGGTCAACGGCACAGTCGTACATGACCGACTTTAATCAATCAAATCTATATTTCTTAAATTCTCTTAAACCAGCCGAGCTATGCGCTGAAGCTTGTGTGTAGAGCATCTGCTGCGTGAGTTGTGTTGTTCTGCATCATCCTCGTCAAAGACACAAAATATAGATCAGTTCACAAAGAGAGCATGACAATGAGATGAAACACAACTGTAACATTGTGTATATGTACAGTATCTAAAGTCATTTTTGCATATTAGTACGGTTGAATTGGATCATCGAAGGTCAGCAGCAGAGATATTGGTTAATAAAATGGGATCAAAGATATTTGTGTAATTTAACATATTTAATTATTGCATGCTTGTGGCATATTCTGAGTTTGCATTTCACTGTTTTTATTGATTTTGAGGAATACTGAATCTGTTTTTGTGCGAGTGAGATGAGTAAATGCATACTGACATTTAGTCTAGATCTACAGTAACATCATGTTCACACAAAACGCACCTGCACTCACTCCTGATTTATCCCAACATGACAGCTGTCA